TTTTCTAAACAGTGATTTTCAAAACAGAAGTTTTCATTTTGATTAAGTCCAATTTACCATTTTTTCTTTTATAGGTCATGCTTTTGGTGTTGTAACACCAAACAATTGCCTAACTTAAGTTCACAAAGATATTTTTAGTATTTTCTGGAAGTTTCGTAGTTTAAAATTTTTCATGTAGGTCTACAAATCCATCTTGAAATATTATTTGTATATGGTGCACGTAAGAATTAAAGTTTTTTTTTTTTTTTTAAAGAATTATTTACTTGGAGAGAGAGAGAACGGGGGAAGGGGCAGAGGAAGAGGGAGAAGGAGAGAGAAACCTAAGCAGACTCTGCGCTGAGCACAGAGCCTGACACTGAGCGCAGAGCCTGACATGGGGCTCAATCTCACCTGAGCTATTACCACTGAGATCACAACCTGAGCCAAAACCAAGAGTTGGATGCTTAATTGACTATGTCACCCACGTGCCCCAAGTTCATTTTTTAAGATAGATATCAAAGTAACTTCTCCAAACACAACATGACAAAGTTAGAAACAAACAGAAAGGAAAACTAGAAAATTCAAAAAATTTTAGAAATTAAGCAACATACTCTGAAATAACCAATGGATTAAAAAAACAAATCATAAGGAAAAATAGAAAATACATAAAGATGACTGAAAACAAAAATATAACCTATCAAAACTCAGGACACAGTTAAAGCAATGTTAAGCAGGAAAATTATAGAGCTGTAAAAGCTTACATTAAGAAAGAAGATCTCAGGGTTCCTGGGGGGCTCAGTGGGTTAAAGCCTCTACCTACCGCCCAGGTCATGATCCCAGGGTCCTGGAATCGAGCCCTGCATCAAGCCCCACATCGGGCTCTCTGCTCAGTGGGGAGCCTGCCTCCCTCTCTCTCTCTGCCTGTCTCTCTGCCTACTTGTGATCTCTGTTAAATAAATAAATAAGGGGTGCCTGGGTGGCTCAGTGGGTTAAGCCGCTGTCTTCAGCTCAGGTCATGATCTCAGGGTCCTGGGATCAAGTCCCGCATCGGGCTCTCTGCTCAGCAAGAAGTCTGCTTCCCTCTCTCTCTCTGCCTGCCTCTCTGTCTACTTGTGATCTCTCTCTGTCAAATAAATAAATAAAATCTTTTAAATAAATAAATAAAATTTTAAAAAAATAAAAAAGAAAGATGATCTCAAATCAACAATCTAACTTTACAACTTAAAGAACTAGAAAAAGAAGAGCAAACTAAACCCAAGCCAACATAAAGAGGGAAATATTAGTATTAGAGATAAACAAAATAGAGAATAGAGAAATAATAAAGAAAATCAATAAAACGAAAGTTGGTTTCTTTGAAAAGATGAACAAAATTGACAAGCCTTTTGCTAGAGACAAAAAAAGAGGGAGGGGCACCTGGGTGGCTCAGTGGGTGAAAGCCTCTGCCTTCAGCTCAGGTCATGATCTCAGGGTCCTGGGATCGAGCCCCGCATCGGGCTTTCTGCTCAGCGGGGAGCCTGCTTCCTCCTCTCTCTCTGCCTGCCTCTCTGCCTACTTGTGATCTCTGTCTGTCAAATAAATAAGTCTTTAAAAAAAAAAAAAAAAAGAGGGAAGACTTTATTACAGATATACCTTATTTTTTTGCACTTTGCTTCATTGTGCTTCACAGATACTCTGGGTTTTACATATTGAAGATTTATGGCAACATTTCGTGGAGGAAGTCTATCACCACTATTTTTCCACCACATCTGCTCACTTTGTATCTCTGTCATGTTGTGGTAATTTTTGAAATATTTTAAACTTTTTCATCATTATCTTGGTTATAGTGATCTGTGATCAGTGATCTTTGATGTCACTATTTTAATTCTTTTGGAGTGCCATGAAACACACCTATACAAGACAGCAAACTTAATCGATAAATGTGTGTGTTCTGAATACTCTACCAATTGGCCATTCCGTTTACCTCCTTCTCCTCAGGCCTCCCTGTACTAAGAAGCAGCAATATTGAAATTAGGCCAGTTAATAACCCTATGATGGCTTTTAAGTATTCAAGTTAAAGGAAAAGGTACACATTTCTCATTTTAAATCCAAAGTTAGAAATGATTAAGCTTAGTACAAAAGGCATGTCAAAAGCCAAGCAAGGCCAAAAGTTAGGCCTCTTACACCAAACAGCCAAATTATAAATGAAAAGGAAAATTTCCTGAAGGAAATGGTGCTACTCCAGTGAACACACAAATGGTAAGAAAGTGAAACATCCTTATAATTGATATGCAGAAAATTTTGGTGGTTTGGAAAAAAAAAAATCAAACCAGCCACAATATTCTTAAGCCAAAACCTAATTCAGGGCAAGGCCTGAACTTCATTCAAGTCTATGAAGGCTGACAGAAAGCAAATTAGTGATTGCTAGTAGCTAGGGACTAGGTGGCATTGAGAATGACTGTTTGTTTAATGGAAACAAGGTCTCACCTCAGAGTGATAAAAATGTTCTGGAATTCGATAGTGGTAATGGTTGTACAACACTGTAAAAATATTAATGCCACTGAAGTAGACCCTTTAACATGGTTCAAAGGGTGAATTTTATCTTTTTTACCACAATGAAAAAAATCAATTGTATTTCTATACATAATGAAATTGATAAAACGAAAATTTTAAAACAATTCCACTCACAAAAGCATTCAAAAAATTGAACTGATAGGGGAAAATTTACAAAATATGTTCAAAATCTGTACAATGAAAACTACACACACTGCTGAGTGAAATATTTAGAGGAGGTAGTAAATTTCTCTTACCAAAGGAGGGAAAGTAAAATGAGGCAATTATGTTGAAAAGATAGACACTGCATCATGACATAAAAGATGTCTTACAGATGGTTTTAATTGAAGAACTTTTCAATGAACTCTACTTTTCCTAGTTAAGAATAACCAAACTTTATAGACCAAGGAAACCATTAAAAAAATTTCATGGCGGGGCTTGGGGGCACCTGGGTGGCTCAGTGGGTGACTCTGCCTTCGGCTCAGGTCATGATCCCAGGGTTCTGGGATCAAGCCCACATCGGGCTCTCTGCTCAGCAGGGAGCTTGCTTCCCTTCCTCTCTCTGCCTGCCTCTCTGCCTACTTGTGATCTCTTTCTGTCAAATAAATAAATAAAATCTTAAAAAAAAAAAAAAAATTCATGGGGGGGCGCCTGGGTGGTTCAGTCGTTAAGCTCTGCCTTTGGCTCAGGTCATGATCCCAGGGTCCTGGGATGGAGCCCTGCGTGGAGCTCCCTGCTCAGCAGGAAGCCTGCTTCTCCCTCTCCTACTCTCCCTGCTTGTAGTCCCTCTTTCACTATGTCTCTGTCAAATAAATAAATAAAATCTTAAAAAAAAAAAAAAATTCACGGGACTATGACATGTTAATAAAGGGTTGACAAAAGTCTTCACTGAGAAAAAAGACCTTTGCGTAAGTCTAGCACTCCCACCCTGGCAGCCTAATCAAATAACATTATTAGACAATATTGCTTATGGTAAAAATGATACGTAATTGGCATCTGGACTGGAAGGCATGAAGTTTTAGGTTTCCCTAAGTACAATAAATATAATCATGCCATTCCCGGGGGGCTAAGAAACATGAAATTTCCAAGCTATGGTAAGTCTTGGAACCACTCCGACCATCTTGTTTTCACACCTGAACTGTTATTTGGAGAGGCAGAGAAAGCCCCTGGTATGCTGTGGGGATCCTTACTGACCACAATTCTAATGCTGTTCTGATTACATACAGTGTTACATTACATACAGGGCAGGCCTGAATGGCTAGCAGAACCCTAGACCCCTCCCTGGTGGTCATAAAGCCATTGCATGACCTTTATGAGCTGAGTTTATAAAACAGATACTAAAACTTCAAGAAGCCGGGGTGCCTGGGTGGCTCAGTGGGTTAAGCCTCTGCCTTCAGCTCAGGTCATGATCCCAGGGTCCTCGAATCGAGCCCCGCATAGAGCCCCGCATCGGGCTCCCTGCTCAGCGGGGAGCCTGCTTCCCCTTTCTCTCTCCGCCTGCCTCTCTATTTGTGATCTCTCTCTCTCTCTCTCTCCGTCAAATAAATAAACAAAACCTTTAAAAAAATATATTCAAGAAGCCACACACAGGTAGGAATGGCAAATTCATCTTTTTAAAAAGTTAGACAAATACACACCATCTTAAGAGGGGAGTGCCTAGAAAAGTAGGGCTTTAACAGGGACTTAGTATTCAGTGGTGTTCTATTAAAAATTTAGAACAAAGTAATGATTATTTGGGTTATGTAAAGTATTAAAAGGCATATTAAGATCACCAATTTACTGACATCTAAAAGGAAAATGTCATAATCGTTGCGCCCCCCCCCCTTTTCTTTAAAGATTTTATTTATTTGACAGATCACAAGTAGGCAGGGAGGCAGGCAGAGAGAGGGGGAAGCAGGCTCCCTGCGGAGCAGAGAGCCCGAAGCGGGAATGGATCCCAGAACCCAGGAATCATGACCTGAGGCGGAGGCAGAGGCTTAACCCACTGAGCCACCCAGGCGCCCCAGCTGCGGCCCTTTTTGTCACCGCACGCAGCTAATGAGAACAAAGCAACCCTGCATGGCAGAGGGGCTTTCGGAGCCAGGAGCCTGGAGTCTGGTCTCGGGAGTCGGGCACACTGGGCATTCTCGTCGCGGCAGAAGGGGACTGAAGGGGCCGTGCTCGTCCACTTAGGCCACTGCCCCCACACTCCCGCCGCTGTCACCCAGAGCAGCCGGCCAGGGCGCCCGGTCCGCTCCAGACAAACCCACGCCTCCCTCCCGCGCAGGACACACACAGTTGCCCGGCTAACGCCTCCAGGTGGGGACCAGCCACTGCAACCCCGGGAGTCCCCTGGCATCCCTTCGGCTCAGCCCGGCCTCCCACCATGGACACCGAGCCCAAGGACCAGACCACCCGGCGAGGCTGCCTCTCCACAGCCAACGGCCGTACACAACGGCCACCCGCCCGCGCACCCGCCCCGCTGGCCCCCAGGTCCGGCCCCCGGCACCCACCTGTTGGTCGCACTCGGGGCACGATTTGGTGGCCATCTTCACTTTCTTGGCTCTAGTTGCAGACAGGCTCTTCTCCAGCAGCAGCGGCGGCTGTGGCTGTAGCTGTGGCGGCGGCAGCTCCGGTTCCTCCGGCTCCTCCCCTCGTACCTCAGCCGCCCAGCCTCCACCCGCCGGGTCCCCCCAGGCCAGACCGAAGCTTGAACTGGAGTGCGCGCGTGTGCGCGAGCCCGGGCGGAGCCTGAGAGCAGCGGGGGCGGGGCAAGGCGTGCGCCCGCCGCAGCCACGGGCCTCTCGCGCCTGCTCAGCGGGACCGCGAAGCGCGCTCCCACCAGCACAGCTCAGGTCCTCGAGAGCGTCCGGATTCTCACGAGAGGAGACCTCCTGAACCTTCCGGCTGCACGGTTATAGCCACGCCTTCTCACCCGCGGACCGCGTGGGGGCGTGGTTGGGGCGGGACTCGGCCGTAACGGGCGTCGGGTTTGACCAACGAATGCACAGAAGGGCGGGCCTGGTACGGGGCACGCCCTCTCCCGGGGAGGAAGGAGAACGTGAGTGAAAGAAGTGGAAGGGAAAGTGCTTACACAGGTCCTGGCATTTAATACACTTAAAAAATGCCAGCAACTCTAATCATTGAGAGACTGTAACAGACATCTAGTTAACGGTGTGGACCTAGGGTCAGGTATTGAAAATTCATTCATTTATTTAATTAAGGCCCACTGTCAGGCAAATTAAATGCAGAAGAGCACACTTTAGGTATTTATAACCAGTACTTACTGTCCACGATGAAAGACCACTTTTTAAAAATCCATCGGTCACTGATAGTTAACTAAATTAAGATTAAAAATAAGTTACACATAGAGGCGCCTGGGTGACTCAGTCGGTTAAGCATCTACCTTCTGCTCAGGTCGTGATCCCAGAGTCCTGGGATGGAGCCCTGCTCAGCAGAGAGCCTGCTTCTCCCTCTCCTGCTCTTCCCCTGCTTGTTCTTTCTCTCTTTCTCTCCCTCTGTCAAATAAATTAATAAAAAAAATAAATTACTCATAGATTGGAGAAAAACTATACAAAACGCAATTTCATTTTTTAAATGTGAAATTCAGCAGACATAAAATTACATTTCAACAATCAGAACAGAGAGGAAATAATTTAAGAAACTGTTTACTTTAGAGAAAATTTGTCAATTGGCATTTGTTACAGTGAATGGCTATTACCCTAAGTTTTTGTTCTACAATTGTAACTAAAGCAGATATGAGTGAAATTCTATTCCCTTATTAAATGCCTGTAAGCACACTTTGAATGAATACATTGAGCATAAATATTTAAAGATTTCAGTGACAAATGATACTGTTTCTTGTTTGGTCATTTATCTAAACTTGGCTGGGTTGATAAAAGCGTTACAGAGGAAAATTTATGTCTAAACTAGTTCTAAGTTCTCATAGTAAAAAAAAAACAATCTCATGGAGGTATGTTAATGGAAATGGAAGAATAGATTTTAAAGCAACTTCAGTAAATTCATGGTTCATTTTTTTTTTCATTTTTTTTCATCATGGTTCATTCTTAACCTTTACCGAAAATAAACCGATGATGTATTTTCAAAATTCATATTCAGTCCTCATAAGTGGCTAGGTCCAACAGTTTATCCCATACAGTAATAATTAAAATTTTAAATACCTTTTAATAAAAGAAATGTGTTCCAGATCTATGATTTTGCTTTGCAGCAATCTTCTTTTTTTTTAATAAAGATTTTTATTTATTTATTTGACAGAGAGATCACAAGTAGGCAGAGAGGCAGGCAGAGAGAGAAGGGGAAGCAGGCTCCCCACTGAGCAGAGAGCTGGGCTCATGACCTGATCCCAGAGATCATGACCTGAGCCCCGAAGGCACAGGCCTAACCCACTGGGCCACCCAGGTGCCCCTAGCAATCTTCTTTTGAGGGAAAGTACAATTCAAACTGTTCTATCATATTTGTAAAATATTTAATTACGTATTTTCACAGGTGTGCAATGTCAAGTCTTATTGATAATGTTTTTTTAATTTTTTTAAAGATTTTATTTATTTATTTGACAGATACAGATCACAAGTAGGTAGAGAGGCAGGCAGAGACAGAGAAAGAGGAGGAAGCAGGCTCCCTGCTGAGCAGAGAGCCCGATGTGGGGTTCGATCCCAGGACCCTGGAATCATGGCCCAAGCCGAAGCCAGAGGCTTTAACCCATGAGCCACCCAGGCGCCCCAATAATGTTTTTAAAATATGAAAATAACAATATATAAAATCTGTTCCTCCAATTCTTCTAAGTTCTATTTTTGTTCTTCCATCTTAACTGCCATATGTTGCCTTCCTTCCTTCCATTAAAATAGTAAGATCCAAATATCACCCACAAAATACTAGCAAACTAAATTCAGCACATATTAAAAGATGTATAGATCTGGAAAAAAACACACTGTTCTAATACGATAACATTTTTCCAAAAAAAAAAAGAAAGAAAAAGAAGTTTTTACATCATGACCAAGTAGGATTTATTCCCAGAGTGCAGGGATGGTCCTACATACAAAAACCATTCAATGTAATAAACTATAGGAGTAGTAGTTTTCTAATATCTTTCCCTCAAAGAACCTTGATTTTGAAAACACTGGTGAGTAAGAGTATCCATTTTGGAAGTCCAACAGTCCAGCGGAGAAGTTCTAGCACATCCTCGGAGAAAGAAAAAAAAAAATCCAAAATTGGATCTGAAGAAATCCATTGCACTGAAGAAAGTAAGAGAAATAGTTTTAATTTATCTGTGTCTCCATTCCCACAGAGTGGCACAGCTTAGTATCAAGAGGAACACCTTGGCCTGCAGTTTCTCCCACAGCAGAAAGTGAGAACATGTGAGTGCCCATCCTCCCCAGCTATGTGAGACACTGCCAAAGAGGTCCACCTTTTTCTTACCCCATCTGGAATACTGAGGTAAGCTGTATACCTGAACATGAGGAGAGAATAGGAACACATCAGGCAGGGCTTAGAGTACATCATAGAGACATGGAATATGCTTAACTATTTTGTGGACTCCATTACAAGGGCCACCACAAACCACTAGTGAGGTCTTGTCTGAAGATTCCCCTACTGGCCCACAGGCATCCCTAATGTTCTCCACACCTCACCCACATAACCTGCCCCCCCCCAAACACACGCACCTTGTGGTCAATTCCCTGTGTGTGCCCATGACAGTGGCAAGTGAAAGCATTGGCAGAGGGCTCATGAACACGGAAAACTGTCCCAACTCTGCAAGACTGTGAAAAAGCAAACAAATTAGAACATTCACAGTTATCTTAGGGAAAGTAAAGCTAAAGCTGTCAGCAGTAGGTCCAGCTTTGCAAAAAGAAGGCATATAATCTTAAGAATGCCACATACACACACACACACACACACACAAAGAGAGAGAGACAAAGGGAGAGAGAGAGAGAAAGGGAACAAGAAGTGTAGAGCAGGCATACACATAGAAGAGGTTTGAGGAAATCCCAGAATCCCTAGACAGGCCGACAGAAATTATTTCTCTCCCAAAGCCAGACAGTAAAGACTGGAGGAGGTAATCACTTTTTCAAATGCCAAGACAGTAATCCAACACTTCAAGGAACATGAAAAATCAAGGAAATATGAAACTACCAAAGGAAAACAATAAATTTTCAGTAACCAACCCAAAAGAAATGTAGATCTATGATTTGAATAAGATGAAATTAAAATAGTTGCTTTAAGAATCTCAGTAACTTACAAAGAAACAAAAACAATTCAATAAAATCAGAAAAACAACACGGGAACAAAATGAGAAGTTTAACAGAGAGACAGAAATTGCAAAAAAAGAACTAAACAGAAATTCTGGAGCTAAAGAACACAATGAATGAAATGAAAATTGTAACATCAACAACTGACTTGATAAAAAGAAAGAATCTCAACTTGAAAACAAGTCACTTAAAATTATCTATTCAGGGGACGCCTGGGTGGCTCAGTTGTTTAAGCAGCTGCCTTTGGCTCAGGTCATGATCCCAGCGTCCTGGGATCGAGTCTCACATCGGGCTCCTTGTTCTGTGGGGAGCCTGCTTCTCCCTCTGCCTGCCACTCTGTCTGCCTGTGCTCGCTCGCTCTCTCTCTCTCTTTCTGACAAATAAATAAATAAAATCTTTAAAAAAAAATTATCTATTCAGAGATCAACAACAACTAAAAGAATAAAAAGGAGTGAAGAAACACTACATGGATTATGAAATACCATCAATTGAAACAATTTCTAAATTTTGGGAATACCAGAAGGAAAGAGAGGGAGAAAGGGGCAGAAAACTTATTTAAAGAAGTAATGACTGAGGGGACACTTGGCAGGCTCAGTAGGTTAAGCTTCTGCCTTCAGCTCAGGTCATGATCCCAGGGTCCTAGGATCGAGTCCTGCCTGGGGCTACTTGCTCAGCAGAAAGCCTGCTTCTCCCTCTGCCTGGCACTCCCCTGCTTGTGCTTTCTCTCTCTCTCTCTCTCTCTCTCTCTCTCTCTCTCTCTGACAAATGAATAAAAATATTAAAAAAGAAAAGAAAGGAAGGAAGGGAGAAAGGAAGGAAAAAAGGGAGGGAGAAAGGAAGGAAGACTGGGAACTTCCCATATCTGGAAAGAGATATAGGCAGCCAAGTTTATGAAGCTCATAGGTTCCCCAGACAGATTCGACCCAAAGATATTTTCTACAAGTACATTATAATAAAAAAAATCTCGAATCGAAGAGAAAATATAAAAGCAAAAAAAAAAAAAAAAATCTCCTCACATACAAAGTAACCTCCATAAAGCTATCCGTGTCATTCTCAGCACAAACCTTGCAGGCCGAGACAGAGTAGGGTGAAATATCAAAGTGCTGAAAGAAGAAAACCAAGAATATTCTACCTGGCAAAGCCGTCATTCAGAAGTGAAGGAGAGATAAAGAATTTCCCTGGCAATTTAAGGCTGAGGGAGTTAATCATTAATCATCACTAGATCTGCCGTAAAGGAGTTCCTCAAGCTGAAATGAAAGGATACTAACTACTGACATGAAAACATGAAAAAAATAAAACATATTGGTAAAGGCAAGGATACAGTAAATTACAGAATACTCATCCTATAATTTGATGTTTTAGAAATCACTTAACTTTAGGGGCGCCTGGGTGGCTCAGTGGGTTAGACCTCTGCCCTCAGCTCAGGTCATGATCTCAGGGTCCTGGGATTGAGCTCCACATCGGGCTCTCCGCTCAGCGCGGAGCCTGCTTCTCCCTCTCTCTCTGCCTGCCTCTCTCTCTGTCAAATGAATAAATAAAACCTTCAAAAAAAATCACTTAACTTTAAAGCAAAGGTTTAAGGACAAAGCATTAGATAATGATTGCTACAATAGTTTGTCAATGGATACACAATACAAAAAGACAGATGTTGTGACATCAAAAACAAAATAGAGGGAGAAAAAGGGTAGTTTCTGTATGCAATTGAAGTTAGAATACACTGTTATAACTACAAGATGTTTTATGTAAACCTCATGTGAATATTATGTGAAATATGTGAAAAAAAAGGAAATCCTGCTATGTGCGATGATAGGCAGGAGCCTAGAAAACGTAATGCTTGGTGAATAAGCCAGACAGGTAAACACAAATACTGTATGATCTCACTTATATGTGGAACCTAAAAAACAAAACAGAACCATAAAAAGGTCTACCTCATAGAAACAGTAAAATGGCAGTTATGAGGGTCTGGGGAATAGGGAAAGTGGAAAGATGCTGGTCAAAGGGTACAAGCTTGCCACTGAAGGATAAATAAGTTTTGTGGATCTGATGTACATACATCACGATGATTATAGTTAATAATACTGTCTTGTATACTTGAAATTTGCTAAGAGAGTAAACCTTAAGCATTCTCATCTCTAAAACAAAAGGTAACATAAATATGCAACATGATGGATATGTGTTTTTTTTTTTAAAGATTTTATTTATTTATTTGGCAGAGAGAGATCACAAGTAAGCAGAGAGGCAGGCAGAGAGAGAGAGAGGAGGAAGCAGTCTCCATGCAGAGCAGAGAGCCCGATGCGGGGCTCGATCCCAGGACCCTGAGATCATGACCTGAGCCGAAGGCAGAGGCTTAACCCCCTGAGCCACCCAGGCGCCCCAACATGATGGATATGTTAATTAATCTGGGTGGTAATCATTTCACAAAGTATATGTATATCAAGGCACCACATTACATATGGTAAATATATACGATTTGAGTTGTCAATTATATCTTAATAAAGCTGGGAAAATGGAACATACCAGATTAATAGAAAGAAGGGGGAAACCACATGACCATTTTGACTGAGGCAGAAAAAGCATGTTGACAAAAACCAACACCCTTTCATGATAAAAAGACTCAACAAAAAACAACAAGTGTTGCTGTGTATGGGAGAAATTGGAACTCTTTTTTTTTTTTTTAAAGATTTTATTTATTTATTTGAGAGAGAGGCAGTGAGAGAGAGCATGAGCGAGGAGAAGGTCAGAGGGAGAAGCAGACTCCCCATGGAGCTGGGAGTCCGATGCGGGACTCGATCCCTGGACTCCGGGATCATGACCTGAGCCGAAGGCAGTCGTCCAACCAACTGAGCCACCCAGGCGTCCCGAGAAATTGGAACTCTTATGCATTGCCTCTGGAAAGGTAAAATGGTGCAGCTCCTGTGGAAAGCAGTTCCTTAAAAACTTCAACATAACTTAAGCTTCCTTAAAAACTTCAACATAACATTACCATCCGATGCAACAGTTTCATATGTGGGTTTGGACACAAAGGAATTTGAAGAACACACTCAAACAGATTTTTTTTTATACAGGGATTTTTATTCTTCCAACTTTTCATATTAAGTGACTTCATTTTTTTTCTTCAAATTTTTATTTAAATTCTGGTCGGTTAACATACCTTGTAATATTTGTTTCAGGAGTAGAATTCAGTGATTCATCACTTGCATAAAACACCCCATGCCTAACATGGCAAGTGCCTTCCTTAATGCCCATCACCCATCTAGCCTACCCCGCAACCACCTCCCTCCATCAACCCTCAGTTTTTTCTCTATCTTTAAGAGTCTTTTATGATTTGTTTTCCCCCTCTCTCTTTTTCCCCCTTCCCATATCTTCATCTGTATTGTTTCTTAAATTCCACATATGAGTGAATTCATATGATATTTACCTTTCTCTGACTGACTTATTTTGCTTAGCATAATACACTCTAGCTCTATGTACATCATTGTAAATGGCAAGACTTCATTCTTTTTGATGGCTGAATAATATTCCATTGTGTATATATACCACATCTTCTTTATCCATTTCACAGAAATCTTGGCTCTTTCCATACTTTGGTGTTGTTGATAATGCTGCTATGAAATTCGGGCTGCATGTACCCCTTTAAATCTGTATTTTTTATCCTTTGGGTAAATACCTAGTAGTGTAATTGCTGGATCATAGGGTAGTTTTATTTTTAACTTTTTGAGGAAATTCCATACTGTCAAACAGATATTTTTATACCTATTTCCAGAGCACCATTCATCACAATAGTCAAAAGGTAGAAATAATCCAAATGTACATTTGTGAGTGGATAAGCAAAATGTGATATATGCATATAATAGAATTTTATTCAGCCATAAAAAGGAATGAAATTTTGATATATGCTACAGCAGGATAGATCTTGAACACATGCTTAGTGAAGTAAGACAGACAAAAAAAGAACAAATATTGTATAATTCCATTTATATGAGATACCTAAATTAGTCAAATTTATAGACACAGAAAGCAAAAAAAAGTAGTTACCAATGTCTCAGGGGAGGGAAGAGGGGAAATTTTTTGTGGATCTTTCCCAGTCTTATTGAAATGTACTTGACATATAACACTGTATAAATTTAAGGTGTATAACATAATGATTTGCCATGTATATACATTGTGAAATGATTACCAGAATAAGTTTAATTAATATCACCCCACATACTGACATTCTTTTCTTGTGATGAAAACTTTTAAAATCTACTCTCTTAGCAACTTTCAAATATATGATACAATGTTGTTAACCATAGTCAACATGCTGTACATCACATCTCCAGAATTTTTTTTATCTTACAACTTAAAGTTTGTATCTTTCCATCTCCTTCACTCATTTCTCTCCTCCCCTACCCCCCACCATTGGTAATCACCAGTTAATTCTCTGTTTTTATAAGTGTGTTTGTTTGGTTTTTTGTTTAAGATTGCACATGCATGGTAAGATCGTACAGTATGTTTTTCCTCTGTCCATATGACCCTCTCACCCTACGTGGGCTTTGACATCTCACTCTGACTCATACTACCTCCATCTCCATTGCATGTGTGCTTCTCACACAGCTCAGGCTCTAACACTCCACACCAGCTGTGGCTGCTGCTATCGCCCCAACACACACAGTTGCTCTCCTCACCCTTCTTAAACCTGAACCCTGTGCTGACTGCTGCCACTCCACTTTATGGATGCCTTCTTTACCCAGCTGGATCTCCAACACTCCACATCGGGTTACCATAGTTGCCCTCTTCATCCCACTTGACACCTAATAGCACATGGACCTTCCTATTATTGCTCCAACCCCATGTGTGGATACATTCTTTATTCTTAAAACCAACATCTTGCACTGGGCCTTCAACACAACTGTTCCCACCCCCATTTGCAGTCTCCGACATTCCACCCCATGCTGCAAAGATTTCTTCCTACCCTTACTTGTGCAACCTCTGACCAGGCTGTTTCTCAACCCACATGGATTTAATTCACTTGGACTCACCTAATGGTTTTTGGACTGAACTGTTCAGGAAGAAAGAAAGGAAGAAAGGACAAAGGGAAGGCAGAAAGAATTGAAGGATAGAAGGAAGAAGGGAAGGTAAGAAGAATGGAAAGAAAGGGTTATTTTCTGTTATAGCTAACATGATTTTTTAGTTACAGGATATATAGAGTACAATTTCTGTTTTTAAATTGAGCAATTTTAGAGCAATTTTGAGTTCACAGAAAAATTAAGCAGAAGGTACACAGATTTCCCACATACTCTGCCCCCGCATACACAGAGCCTTCCCCACTGTCAAAATCTGTCAACAGAATAATATATTTATTATAATCAATGAAACCACATTGCCACATCATTGTCACCCAAAGTTCCTAGCTTACATTATCGTTCCTTCTTGGTATTGTACATTCTATGGATTTGAATAACATGTGATGACTTATATCCACCATTACAGTATCACACAGAATACTTACACTGCCCTAAAAATCATTCATGTTCCGTTTTTCCCTCCTCCCCCCTAATCCTCAGCACCCACTGATGTTTTTACAGTCTCCTTAGTTTTGCCTTTTCCAGAAGGCCATGTCATTGGAATCATGCAGTATATAGATTTCTAAGATCAGCTTCTTTCACTGAGTAATGTGCATTAAAGTTTTCTTCATGTCTTCTCAGGGCTTGATAGCTCATTTCTTTCTTTCTTTCTTTTTTTTTAAGATTTTATTTATTTATTTGACAGACCAAGATCACAAGTAGGCAGAGAGGCAGGCAGAGAGAGAGGTGGAATCAGGCTCCCTGCTGAGCAGAGAGTCTAATGTGGGGCTCGATCCCAGGACCCTAGATCATGACCCGAGACAAAGGCAGAGGCTTTAACCCACTGAGCCACCCAGGCACCCCGATAGCTCATTTCTTTTTAGTGCTAGATAATACTCCATCATCCAGTAATCATGCTATTAGCATTTATCCAAGTGACTTAAAAACTTATGTCTATACAAAAACCTGCACATGGATGTCTATATCAGCTTAATTCATAATTGTCAAAACTTGGAAGCAGGTAAGATGTCCTTCAATGGGTGAATGGTGAATAAATGGTGGAGCATCAAGGTGATGGAGTATTACCCTGAATGTGTTTAACTTTGTAAGAAACTGCCAAACTGGGGCACCTGGGTGGCTCAGTCAGATAAACACCTACCTTTGGCTCAGATCATGATCCTAGCATCCCTGGGTCAGGCTCACTGCTCAATGAGGAGTCTGCTTCTCTCTCTGCCCTACTCCCTTCCTTTGTTCTTGCTCTCTCTCTCTCCCTCTTTCCCAAATAAAGCAATAAAATCTGTTTGAAAGAAAAGAAAAAGAGGGGCACCTGGGGGGGCTCAGTGGGTTAAAGCCTCTGCCTACATCTCGGGTCATGATCTCAGGGTCCTGGGATCGAGCCCCACATCAGGCTTTCTGCTCAGCAGGGAGCCTGCTTCCCCTGACCCTCTCTGCCTGCCTCCCTGCCTACTTGTGATCTCTGTTTGTCAAATAAATAAATAAAATCTTAAAAAAAAAAAAAAAAAGAGGGGCGCCTGGGTGGTTGAGTGGGTTAAAGCCTCTGCCTTCGGCTCAGGTCATGATCTCAGGATCCTGGGATAGAGCCCCGCATCAGGCTCTCTGTTCAGCGGGGAAACTGCTTCCCCCTCTTTCTTTCTGCCTGCCTCTCTGCCTACTTGTGATCTCTGTTTGTCAAATAAATAAATAAAATCTTTAAAAAAAAATAAAGAAAAGAAACTGCCAAATTGCTTTCCAAAGTGGTTGTACCATTTTGCATTCCCACCGGCAATAAATAAGAGTTCCTGTTGCTCTATATTCTCATCAACATTAGGTGTTGTCAGTGTTATGAAAGTTAGCTATTCTAACAAATGTGTAGTGGAGTATTTCATTGTTTGTTTTCATTGCATTTCCTTAATAACACATGATGTGCCTTTAGGCTTCATTTGTTGTTCCTTTTCTAGCTTCTGTAGGTGTAAGGTTAGGTTGTTTATTTGAGATTTTTCTTGCTTCTTAAGGTAAGCCTGTATTGCTATATATTGCTCTTGTTGCATCCCAGAGGTTTGGACCATTGTGTTTTCATTTTCATTTGTTTCCCTGTTTGTTTGTTGTTGTTGTTTTTCATTTATCCCTTGATTTCCTGGTTGACCCATATGTCTAGAAGCATGTTGTTTAACCCCATGTCTCTGCGGTCTTTCTAAATTTTGTCTTTTCTCTTTTTTTTTTTTTGTTTATAAGATTTTATTTATTTATTTGACAGCAGAGATCACAAGTAGGCAGAGAGGCAGGCAGAGAGAGAGAGGGGGAAGCAGGCTCCCCGCTGAGCAGAGAACATGATGCGGGGCTCCATCCCAGGACCCTGGGATCATGACCTGAGCCAAAGGCAGAGGCTTTAACCCTCTGAGCCACCCAGGCACCACTCTTTCTAAATTTTTTCTCGCAGCTGACTTCAAGTTTCATAGTGTTGTGGTCAGAAAAGAGGCATGGTATGATCTCATTCTTATCATATTTGTTGAGGCCTGATTTGTGACCTAATATGTAACTGATTCTGGAGAATGTTCCATAAGCACTTGAAAAAAATGTATATTTTCCTGTTTAAGAATGAAATGTTCTGAATGTATCTGTTAAGTCCATCTGGTCCTGTATGTCATTCAAAGCCACTGTTTTCTTGTTAGTTTTCTGTTTTGATGATCTGCCCATTAATATAACTGTGGTGTTAAAGTCCTGTTCTATTATTGAATTATTATCAATCAGCTCCTTTATGTTTGTTATAATTGTTTTATATATTTGCATGCTCCCATGTTGGGTGCATGAATATTTACAGTTAGATCTTGTTGTATTGTCCCCTTTATTATCATCTCTTGTTACAATCTTTGTTTTAAAGTCTGATTTGTCCAATAAAAGTATTTCTACTCTGGGTGTCTTTTGACATCCATTTGCATGATTAATGTTTCTCCATTCCCTCACTTTCAATCTGCAGGTGTCTTTGGGTCTAAAATGAATCTCTTTTAGACAGTATATAGATAGCTCTTGTTTTTTTTTTTTTTTATCTATTATGAATATCATATGTCTTTTGAATGGAGAGTTTAGTCCATTTACATTCAAAGTAATTACTGATAAATATGTATTTTGTGCCATTTTATTATTTGTTTTGTCATTGTTTCTGGAGATTTTCTCTGATCCTTTCTTGTTTTTATCACTTTTGGTCTCTCCTTTCCCCTCAAAGAGTCCCCTTTAATACTTCTTGTGGGGCCTGATTTAGTGGTCACAAACTCCATTAGTGTTTGTCTGAGGAACTCTTTATCTCTCCTTCTATTCTGAATGATAGCCTTGCTGGTTAGAGTATTCTTGGCTACAGAGTTATCTCATTCATATCATGCCACTCCCTTCTGGCTTGCCAAGTTTCTGTTGAGAAATTTCCAGCTCGCCTTATCAGTTTTCTCTTGTAAGGTAAGGGCTTCTCTTGTCTTGCTGCTTTTGAAATTTTCTTCTTTATCACTGTATTTTGCAAATTTAATTATAATATGTCTTGGTGTTGGTTTGCTTTTATTGATTTTGATGGAAGTTCTCTGTTCTTCCTTGTTCTAGGTGTCTGTTTCCTTACCCAAATTGGGGAAGTTTTCAGCTATTAGTTCAAATAAATTTTCTGCTGCCTTTTCTCTCTCTTCTTCTTCTGTATCATGAATGTTATAACATTTGATGGAGTCACTGAGTTCCTTAAGTCTATTTTTGTGTTCCATAATTCTTTTTTTCATTTGTTCAGCTTTACTGCTTCCCATTATTTTGTCATCTATATCACTTATTTATTCCTCTGCTTCTTCCAGCCTTTTGTTCATTGCATCAAGCCTGTTTCCAATCTCAGTTATTGCCTTCTTCATTTCTGGCTGATTCTTTTTTAACTCTTTTATCTCCGAGATAAGGGTCTCCATTATGTCTTCCATCCCTTTTTTAAGCCCAGTGAGTATCTTTATGATTGTAGCTTTAAATTCTCCATCAAGCATGTTACTTACATCTGTTTCATTTAGATATCAGGCCATGGCCTTATCTTGTTCTTCCATTTGAAGTGAATTCCTCTGTCTTGGCATTTTGTCTAAGTCTTTGCCTTCTTCTCTATGTTAGAAAGCCTGTTGTATTACCTGCTTCTGAAAGTAATGGCTTTATGAAGAAGAGGTCCTACAGTGTCCAGGGCCTGGTGCTTCAGGGAGTGTCTCTGGTGTGTGCTACATGTATTCTGCTGTTGTACTTCGGCTGCTCTGTCCTTCAGGCCAGTTGTCTGCAGAGGCTCTCCTTGCCTGCAGTGGGCAGCATTTTGCCCTTGGCTAGAATGTGGCAAGTTTTAACTAGGTATGCTCTGGTCTGTTAAATGAGACTGCATACTACTTCCACTAGAACTGAGGCTCTGAAGAACTCTCTGATCAGGTGTCATACTGCAGGCAGGCAGGGTTTCGTGCTGGTCTTCCAGGTGCCTTTTATTCTTTTTCTTATCTAATTGTTATAGCTAGGACTTCCAATACTACATTGAATAAAAGTGGCAAGAACGAGCATCCTAATCTTGTTCCTGATTATAGAGGAAAAGTTTTCAACTTTTCACTTTTGAGTATGATGTCAGCTGTGGATTTGTCACACATGGACTTTATTATGTTGAGGTACATTTCTTCTATACTCACTTTGTTGAGAGTTTTTATCATAAATAGATGTTGAATTTTGCCAAATGTTTTTAATGCATC